GCACTGGGCACTTGCGGTTGCTGTTTCGAGATACGCATTTCATGTTATATTGTGCAATTGATATACATGGGTTTTATTGGTTGACTTGTTGTTCAATTTTTTGTATTAATTCAACAGTTGATTCGATAAAGGGGAACATAAAAGTAAATGAATCAGCGGAGTCTTCAAAGGAGGAAAACAACGATCAAATCAAGTTGAATATGTTTGCACGGGAGAACAAAGCAATACTGAAGAGCCAACATATGGAGATAATAAATCACCCCTTCTATACAGATCAAATCTAGTTTCAGCTATTCGCTTTTTTCTGGCAATATAAATTTACAAAAAAACATATTGACTACATTGGACGAACTACGCTGGCTGATTTTGTAATTCCCTTTATGCAGAGGAAGATCTCTACACATCATGTTCAGAAGTCGGCAGAAGAGGTACACAAGATCCTACTTACTTACAACAAGGACATACGCAAATTTATTATTGGCGCAAAAGAACTTCAAATATTTCCTATTGAGTGCCAATTAATTTTCGGCATAAAATGTGGTGAAGTTGGGATACGTATAGCCAATCCCAAAGGTTGTCGTAAACCGACTGGTGGCCTAGTCGCTAGGCAATTTGGCAATGTAAAGCGGCTGAACAATGCAGAACTAAAAAAAGCTAAGCCATGATTAGGTTGATTAGTGGAGACATAGATTCATATATCGAAGATGTGGCAAGGATCATCATACTGTATCTTATGGTCAATTTCTTATTCACTGCCAGTGGGGATTTTGTTCCATGGTCCTGGGTTAAATATGTGGAAGATCTGGATGATACAAAAATATACAATTGGGCGAGAGATAACAATATACCTTATGAATGCCATAGAAAAAGGTACCCCTGAGTCAGTTACAAAATGCAATATGTTGTTAATGGTTAGTATTTTTCAATGGTTATTATTGTCATATGTTGTGTTATAATAGTAATCATGTCCATATTCTTAAAAAAAAATTCAAATCATAGTATTGGCTGACCGAGAAGACAACGCTAACACAGCCTATGACAGTCGACGTTTTTCCAAGGTTTATAAAGTGGAACATCCAAACTATTGCTGAGATGGTTGAATCACATACACTGGAATCAATCAACGAATTTGTGGTAGTATTTATTTGCATTTTATACACACATATATATATATGTATATATATACAGCGATATATATATATATATATATATATATATATATATATATATATATATATATATATATATATATATATATATATATATATATATATATATATATATATATATATATATATATATATATATATATATATATATATATATATATATATATATATATATATATATATATATATATATATATATATATATATATATTTATTTT